AAGTCAAGTATTTCCACTTCCCTGAAGAGCTGCATCATCATTCACCAGCACTGGCTGGTGGCCCCAGTGCTTAGATGAGAGGGACTGCTGGGGTTATGGGAGGTTGAAAAAGCAAAATATGTCAACTTTGAACATTTAGGTACAGATGTGTCTCACATGCCATCGTGTGGCAAAATGCTTTTTGGTATTATTAATGACTTCGTGTGAGTGGTTCAGGGAGGCCAAAGAGGCTGAACAGTTCTGTTCCTCTCAGTTGGAGAAGATAGCAATGCTCCTAATACCATGAGGGATTTAATCACACATGCATGCTAATGTGTTTATAAAGCACTCCACTGCGTGCCGTGAGCTTCTACTATAAAGGAAGAAGAAATTCCCCCTCCATGGGAATAAAAGAGCAGCTGCAGCAATGGCCAGAAATGCCAGCCAGGGTGGGGGATAGCACCTGGCACCTTCCCCAGGTGCCCCCAATGCTGGTTTGGCTGGGTTGGAGTTCATTTTCTTCACAGTAGCTGGTATGGGGGTATGTTTTGGATTTGCGCTTCATAGAGTTGAAGATGTCCTTGCTTATTGCAGGGGGTGTTGCCTTAGATGAACGTTCAAGGTCCATTCCAACCCAAACTGTTCTATGAATCTATAATATTCCATATCATATGGCATCATGCTCAGCAATAGAAGCTGGGGAACAAGGAGGAAGGGGAGATATTTGGAGTGATGGCATTTGTCTGCCCAAGTCACTGTTATATGTGACAGAGTCCTGCTTTCCTGATGAGTGAACACTTGCCTGCCCATGGGAAGTGGTGAATGAATTCCTTTTTTGCTTTGCTTGTGTACACAGCTTTTGCTTTATCTTTTAAATTGTCTTTATCTCAACCTGTGGGTTTTCCCACTTTTACCCTTCCAATGCTCTTCCTCATCCAACTGAGGGGGAGTGAGCAAACAGCTGTGTGAGGCTGAGTTGCCAGCTGGGGTTAAACCACAACCCCCCCCCCCAAAATGGGTCTCTGGGAAAGGAAGAGGGAGGGAAAACGTTTATGGAGAGACTTAAAGGTGGAGGGAATTAAGGCTGGAAGGTGAAAGCTTTGCCTAGAGAGTTGTGCTGGAGAAGAAGGATGTCCTGGCAGGATTGTGTGGGATGTGGAGAAGCCCCAGCACTAGTCCTGACCTGCTCATTTCTGCCCTTCTGCCTTTGCCTCTTGTAGAGGGAAAGGCTTTGAGTGAAAGACAGAAATGCCAATGAACCAGCAATGATTTGATACAAATATAAAATGAAGCTTCCTCGCTGAGAAGTCAAGACAAGGCCAAGCTGAAGTCCAGCTCTTGCCCTTTGCACATTTATTCAGCAGTCTTGTGAATAACTACACACATCTCAGGTTCTCTGTCCATAAACTTGGGTTAATGCTATTATTCCTTTCACTCTCTTATAGATATGTTGCAAAATGATTTATTTTTTAGATTAAAATTGCTGCACACTAAGTTTTATATGAACTGGACTGGGAGGATCTAGATTTTTAAGAAAGATTAAAAAAAGGAGGAAGGTGATGGAAAGTTTGTGTACTGAGGAAGCTCCAAAAATGTCTCATTTACTGCGCCTGAGCCAACTTGCTGGATGTGTAAAGTACACTTAAATTATGAGAATTTTAATATAATTGGAACTACCATTTTGGAGCATCAGGTTTGGTGGAAATAAGAAAACACTAGAACCCCCCTGCTTTTTCTTGCTGTGCTCAAGACATGTGGTGTGTGATTTAGTCTGACAATTACCCGGTCACTCAGCTCTTACCTCCGTCCTCGCCAGAGCTTGCAGTAATCTGATTGGGATATGGTTCAACTGCCTAACACCAGAGAAACCCTGTCCTGTTTTTTTCAGCTGCTTTTTCATTCCTTCACTGTGTATTCTCTTGCTTTCACTCTCAATACATTCACTTTTCCTGCTGTATTATGAATATTTCCAGTATTATGTTCAAGAGTCACAGGCCCCCATTCACAACTGCTTTCCATTAGTTACTGATCAAATGAGTACAGATGACTTCCCTCTCATGTCTTTTTCCTTAGCACATGATAATAAAAAGTTCATTTCCATCACTGGTGTGCTCTTTTCTTGCTATCAGGATGCCAAATGGACTTCCTACAATGTTGTCTTATGTGCCTTCAAAATTATTTCTTTTCCCCTTTCTGTAAGCTAGTAAGATTTCAGGATGTGTCTTTTTGCTACCTAAAAATATCTGAGGGCCACAAGAAAATAAAGTTTCAGTGGTTAAATTCCTGCTAATGGCAAATATAATACATAAATATTAATTATCTTTTTTGCTGTTTTACCTACCTATGTATTTTTCTGGATTTTTAGGTGATCATCACATAATTATCACTCTCCTCTTAATCACTCAGATTTCTTGCATAACCCAGCCCTTTCCTTCCAGTCTGTGATGGTCCATGTGGTGCTGGGACACCCTTTCTTTTGAGAGTGAGACCTGCAACTGCTAGGTTTCACCTTGCAAATGCAGGTTACTCACACCACTCAGTGGCTTACGAAGTGACACATTAAATGAAATTCCCAAAGGTCAGAATCCAGAGACTTAAGGTTAGAAATGGTGCTACTGTAGAGGTGCGATTGGAAAGAGTTTGATTGTTTTTTTTTTTTGTTTGGTTGGTTTGGGGTTTTTGTTTTGTTTTCATTTGTTTGTTGTTTTTTTCTGGTTTGTTTTTTTGTTTGTTTGGTTGGTTGGGGTTTTTTTTGTTTGTTTGTTTTCAGGATTTTTTCCCCCCTTTTGAGAAAACTGAATCATTTAGACTACAGGGAGGTCATACACGCTGAAGTTGGTGCCCCAAAACTTCCCGTGGCTAAGGGTGAATGGGGCTTTGAAGAACCTGATCTAGTGCAAGATATCCCTGCCCAAAGCAGTGGTGTTGGATGAGACGATCTTTAAATGGTTCCTTCTGACCCAAACTATTCAGTGATGCTCTTCTTCTCTACTGTCTGAGCAGTCTCTCCCTATTGACATTTAATAAGGCTTCTGTCTGACCTGTCTGAATTTGTACCTGTGTTGTTATGTGCTTGGAGTCCCCAGATCTCCAACAGTGGTAAGGAGCTTCCCAGTATCTTATGGACTAGGCAGAAATAGTAATGTGTCTATACAACAAAAATCCATCCTTTTGTCAGCAAAAAGCAGACTAAATTAAGGAAGCAGAGGCCACCTAATTCAAGTCATTCCCGACTTCCCAGTGATGGATTTTTCTACAAGTCACATTTAAAAAAATGTATTGCACATGTGCAAAAATCTGATTCATTTTTGCATGTTTTTGTGTTAACCAGATTTTTTTCTGATTAGAATATTTCAAAACACTTAGGTTAATGGTGGAAGATGTCAATCAAAACTTGAGCACCAGGGACTGCTGATCCTGGGGGACCCTGCCCAGGAAAGGCTGTCCTGAGCCGTCTCCTCACAGCAGGACTTTGCCAGGCACAAGGCCCTGCTCACAGCCACGCACCATGGTGCCAATGCCAGGGTCCTCCACGGGGGATGCAGGGCCATGCAGGAGGAAATTCTGTATTAGCAGCCTGTTTTTATCCATGTGGAACAAAACCCCAAGCCCAAGCCTATCCCTAATGGCCGCCACGCACAAACAATGTCCTGATTGTCCCTGGCCACTGGGACTCTCAGAGAAACACAGTCACTGTGTCCCTATTAATTAAAAACAAAGCCCGCTTCCAATGCTCAGTTTCTGAACCCGTTCTGGCAGCCACACTGAAGCAGTCTCTGGGGGGACACAGGTTACTTTAAGCTGAGACAAAACATGGGCTCGGCTTTCCCCAACGAGGCCCGGCATCTGAAGGTTTGGTGCCACACCACCACCTGCCTGCACAAACCTCCTTGGTGCCACTGGTCTGCCCTTGCTGGCAAAGACTGTGCCAGTCTTTTGCAAGCCTGTTTGTTTGCTGTGGGACAGCTTCAGCTTTATTATCTGTGTGATGACAGACTCTGAGGCCACCGCTATTGTTTCACTTGAATTGCAGAGATCTTAAAGAGCCCCAGTCATGGGCCTTAATCCCACAGCGTCTGGGATGTTCAAATACAGAAAGACCCAGGTGGGTCTTGTTCCTCCTAAATCTCCTGCTGAGCTCCCTGGGCGTTAAGCAAAGTAAGTCAGTGCTCCAAACACACAGATGTACAACATGCATCAGACATGAGAGATGCAAACAGGAACATTAAGCTGCCAAGTGGCCGTTAAAAACTTCATAAGGGTAATTAAAATATTAGCATCCTTTCATGTAAGCAAAGCAAACAAAACTGGCTATTAGATTCAGTTACAGAGTCCTGCATTTTCCTATTGGTCACTTGATGCTTGCACCCATTGATCTGACAACCCATGTGGGGGTACATAAATGACTGCACTGGCCTCTGCCTCTGCCACAGAGATCAACATCTAAGCTGTGTGATGGGAGATGTGCAGACTCATCCTCTGTCAGCCTTTGTCCATGGAGGAGCTGATGTCATTTCCCCACATTTTGTTGTTACACAAATGCAGCAAGCAAAGTGGTGTCCCATGCAGTCACTCCTCCTCATCAATGAACCAGACAACTTTATTGTAAGAAAAGTCACTGAGTGCTTGCTGCCACCCACTGTAAACCTCCCTCAATACTTAAATGTTGTGCTGATGATTAATAAAAATAACTACATATGGGTGAGTCACAAGAATGGCTTCATTCATTCATTCAGTTGTGACTGCAACCAAAATAAAAGGTGTTTCCCAACTCTCCATTCCCAAGCACGATCCAAATCCCTCCTGCAGGAAGGAGTTGACTGACACGGAGGGAATGAACATCAGTATTCACTGAGTTCACTTCAATCTGGTCAGTGTTTGCCGAGCTGAATACTGGAAGCTGAATGCTGCAAAACCAGTTAAAACCCTAACTGTGATTCTAAAGGCAACAAGTCCTTGTGCACCAAGATTGGGATGAGTTTGGATTTTAAATGGAATAAAATAAAGAGATGAGAAAGGAGTTACCAAAATGTTTAGCCTTTGCTTTATTGAGTTACAACAACTGAGCAACAAGTTAGAAAAGTCAGATTTATTCAAACTCCCTAGCAACCTATTTGTGCAGCGTACTGAAAGGTGGGCAAGTTTTCCAAACCCAGCTCATCAGAGGAATGCACCGGACGGCTCCTGCACCCAGGCTCCTGCTCTCTCTCCATTTCCTCCTCACGTGCACGGACAGACACTCTCACACAAATCCATATTAGCAGTATTTGAAAAAAAAAAAAAAGAAAAAAGTGCAATCAGGAACGTAGGATCGACCTAAAAATTTAGTGGTAAGGGTTAATAAGAAATTTCTGTTGTGCGCTACAACATCTAAAGCTGGAGGGCAGACTGCCGGTTATGGTGTCCATCACTGTACCAGCCAAAGAAACACAAGTTTGAGTTATGAAGCATCTTAATTTCCTCACTCCAACCCCTCTGGGGGTTGTACTGCAAGTTTAAACAAAAAGTGCTAAAAAACCCCAGCAAATCAAAACAAAAAAAGGCATTCTAGCCAAATCTTTAGAGACCCACAGCTGGGGCTGGCTGGTAAAAAGTAAAGTACAGGAGCTGGAGAAGACTTGCCTTGTAGGAGCACATATAAAAGCAGAGATTTAAATACTTCGACCAGTAGCAGGTGGCCATAAAACAAAATAAAAAATTCAAAACAACAAGGGGAAAAAAATCAAAACCCACCACTCCAGAACATGTTTAACTGGGCTGAAATGTAAACTGGGGTGGGGATCTGGGCTCAGATGCTGATCTGCACCAAGACGACGCCAAAAGATTGCAACTCTGTCTTAAAACACTTCAGAAAAAAAATTCTCCTCTCCCTCCCCCACAAAAGACACTTCCCTCCCCCAAACGAACCCCAAAATTCTGCATTATATGCAAGAATAACTTGCATCTATTAAAAAAATTAACAAAATTTTCATGTTGTACAAATCTGTTCCAGTAGAGGAAGAGGCCGGGCAGGAAAGTGGGTGGGGGAGAAACTGAAGAGAAATCTATGTACAAGGACCCTTTTATCTTTCTTTTCTTTTGAAATGCAGTAGTAGGACTTTGGCACTATCAACGATTCCATGATGACACTCCACAAGAGTATTTCTCGCTGTGCCTCCACAAGTGGCGCTTGAGACTTGGAGTCGCAACACACTATCTCACCCCAGGGAGGAAAATAGAGTCGTCTTCTATTTTCAGACAGCATTTCCCCTCCAATGTCAGGACAGTGCAGCTGAGGAGTACCCCTGCAAAAATTATAAAAGTAGCATATTATTTTTGAAGGCACTATGAACAACTAACTAACTAGCTGCTAACTAACATGGTATTCCAGTTTACATCCCTGCACACACAGTAACACTGTATTTTCTATTAACTGTACTCTGAAGTCTATCCTTACCACAGCCTGATGTAGTAGGGTGCTGTAGTTTTGCTGCATGTTAACACCCAGCTAATAATCCCCTATGGATTTCTAACATGGATACACAGCCTTGACTCGGTAGATTCTCACACTGACTCAAAGATGATGTGCACACGTTTGGGGCAGTTACTTTGTGACCACAGGACATGTAGTGCTAAAACCGAGAAGACCTCAGGTCTTTCTCCCCCAGTAAAGTCCCTCATAATACTTCTTGTTTTGCACTATTTTAGAAAATGATACAAACTGCAAGACAATGGAAAAAACTGGATGTGCCTGTGCTCTGCAGAGCAGCTCCCTGGCTCTGCTATGACTCCTGCACCTACATAAAGGCTGCACTATGGACCAGAGATTAAAAAATAACCCCCCAACACCCAATCTTCAGATAGCCACCAATCTACATGTATCCCCAGTTCCCAGCACAGAGCAAGGGCTCTATGACAAGGGTTATGTTCAGCATGTGCTTCCCCTCTCAGGTGTAAACGTGCAAGAAGTGCAAACATCCACTCATGCTGGAGCTGCATGGGATGGCTTTCCTGCACCATCCTCCTCACCCATCCTGCAGCAGTGCTTCCCGAAACCTGAACTAACCCATTATTTCACACCTTGTATAGATGTTGCTATTTGGTCTGTTATTTCCCACAGAAATAGTGAGCTCTGTCTGGCATCTGCAACGCAGAGAACACAGTCACACCCAGGAAAAGGACTGGCTCGCACCAACATCAAGGGGAAAAGTCCTCCCCATCCTTGAGACCTTTCCTCAAACAGGCCCCCGCTCCTCTTGACTCACTGGAAAATTTTAATTGCAGCGTTGGGTTTTGCATCTCCCCCTGAAGTCCTTCATTACATTAGAATTTAGGTCTTCAGCGCGCCTCACTGGTTTCAGGGAAAAAAGCACATCCTCCCTACTTCATTCTCATTCCTTGAAATGCTTTAGGGTGACCCAAATTCTGCAAAAACCAGCAGTCAATCCTACACTGATTTACTTCAGGATGGTGCCTTGGAGCACAGCACCAGTAACAGGCACTGTAGCTAGCCTTTTAGATGAAACCCTAAACCACAAGAAGAGTGAAAACTTGAGCAGAAAGCAAGAGAAGCCCCAGTGCTGTTACCTTTTACCAGTTTTGGACACCAAGGAACATATTGTGCCACCAGCAAACATGTGATCTCAGCTCCTGTAGCAGTGCAGAAGGGGTTGGAAATGCCAAAAGAAACCAGACTACCTCTGAGGCCTAGCATCTGCATACAGCATCTGCAAGGGGCAACTGCCTTCAGACTTTTTTTTTTTCTGGGACATCTCTACAGAGCAATGGTCACAGCCACCCAGAGGCAGGGCACACATCTTCCAGGGTGTCCACCTACCTTGCTCCCACTGTGAGCCATAAACTTTAGTGTCTACATCTTGCAAGGTTCAGGATTAAAAATGGAGGTCATGAAATAACTCTAAAAAAGACAGTTTACTGCAGAAAGGTGGTGGTGGTGGGGAAAAACTATGATTCTGAAAAAAACCAAAAGCTCTGATCTTGGGAAAACCCCACAGGGAGACAACATCATGAAGAAAGCCAGCAGTAGCTGCTAGCCACTCAGGCACACTCTGGTCCTGCTCTCCTGAGCTGTAGTTTGCTGTACTTAATTTAGGACCAGTTTCTGTTTGTCAGTTTTGCACAAATGGGGACAACAGACATAATTTTGACCCGTGCTGTAGGAAGACAGGAATATTTATACTCATGGAAAGGGATCTAAAGTACTCTCGACAGAACAGTTGGGCCATATTACAAGGGGGACACAAGGTTGCATGATGCAACATCTGGAACATTTTCAGTGATGGCTTCAGTGCACCTGACAGTAGCCACTCAACATCCTGAGGGCCTTGTTACTCTATGGGGACAGGTCTCTCAGCCTCAGTGTTCAGAAAACCTGACCTGCTCCACAGAAAAAAATCCAGTATTGCCAAAAGCTTCAGATATGGACTTAGTAACAGAGCCTTTTCTTAGTTCTGAGATGGTACTTCAGAGCCCAGCATGCATCTTGCTCTCAAGGAGGTCAGGCACTTCTGAAACTTCCTCTAGTTGTAGCAGCAGCAGAAGCAGAATCTGCTGAACAGGGATCAGCTTTGAAATACTCAATTTTTTAAGGCTTAAGGTCTGTCTAGGCTGCAACACAAATGCTCTCCAATAGTTCCAGAAACTCGAAGCTACACACCAGAGCAGAGAATGACCAAGACAGTATGGAAGAGATGAGGTTTTACAAAAGCTGCACACAAATTTAGCCAACAGGAGTATGGAGATCAATCACCAACAAATGATCATTTTAGACTATGTACATCAAGCTGACAAAATAGCAACAGCATCAATATCAAAGGAGCATGTTTCTGCCTGATGTAGGGCTCAGCAGTGAAAGGTTCACCCAGGAAGTGTGGCTGTGTGAGACTCAAGAGAAGTCCCTTGTCAGCTCTTCAGTCCACCTCTTACATATGGTACCTGAGGAATATGATGTTAGGAAAAATCAGGCTTTTATACGAAAACAGGCAGAAACAAGCTCTCAATCTTGCACAGTCTTTCGTTTAGTCATACCTGAATGTCACTTAACACATTGTTAGCTGAACATCAAAGCTTTAGCTGAATATTTCTGGACAAAGAGTGAAAGCTTATCCTTAAGGAAAAGGGAGACAGTAGCTGAGATTTTTCCATGGGTCCCACCAGTGTGGGATATAAAGCTTCCAAATTTTGTGTCACAATAATTGTGATAATGCCTCCACATGGGTGCCAGAGAGAAGGCACTTGCATTTCTGCGCTGAGACTTACAGGCAGAATAAAGGAAAATTAAAAAGACTTTGGGCTTTTGTCAAGTCCCCAGGCCAGCATGCTGAGAGACAAGCAAAGAGCGGGACAAAATGTCCTCTGATCTTACTGCATGCTGTTTGCAGCAGAAGTCCTGCTCCAGTGCACCTTTTCTCAGTAGGTGTATTTTACATGCAACCACCGGAAAGCTCCTCATCAAAGGATCACTCAGCAAAAGTTTAACTGAGATCAAAGTTCTTATTAAAATTCCTCTCTGATAACACTTGAGCACCCCCAAAGCCCTGGAGCTTTATGGTCAGCATCTGTACCAGGGCACAGAGGCAGGAGATTCACTCCAACATACCTGCACTGACAAAAGTGCAGGCACCAAACCTATGCTGCTGGAAGAGGACTGTTGCAGCCTTGTTTCATAGTACAACAGGTTTGTGAGAAAGAGTGGTTTCAGGCAACTCCCCCAGCTCCCACCTTCCTCCCCATTCCCCCTCCTAACCCCTGGTCTGCTCCCTCTCCTCACAACCAATATTCATAGCTGGAAAGAGGAAATGATCTGGAATAACAATCCTGAAAACAAATAATCCCACAGTGCATTTATTCATCACACATTTGATTTTAAAAGGCAGATCAGATCCTGTCTCTCCCTTCTTATGTGGCTGTACAACAGTGGCACCCCAGCGTGCCTCCAGCCAAGGTTCCCACATCCTTCTTCCTTTAATCTGTGCTTTTGCCACCTGTTACTCATATCCCTAATTACCAACTTCTGCAAGGATAATGCACAACAGTGCCTTGCACTGCAGTCTGAAGCTTTAACGTATTTTGTTATATAGATGTCATAACATTTCTCAACATTAGCTGACACAATTCATAGTTAAAAATAATACCACTGCAGGGTTTTCCTTTTTAACTCAGAGAAGATGTCCCAGGAGACTTCTGGACAAGTATTGCACATGGAGAAAACGGAGTGCTAGTCAGCAGGGCTTGCTACCAAAACCTGCATGTCTGCAACCGGCAGTTCAATCCAAATACTGCCAACTATAACAGTAAAGTCTTTAGTGCAAGCGTAGAGGCACTTTATCAGTCCTGCCTGGATTTTGTATTTTGTATTTCTTTTTCTTTAAAAAGAAATGCTAAAGTATATTTTAATTTTAGACACCAGAAAACTACTAACTCCTTCTAAAACAGGTGTTCTCTCACTATGGCTGTTAATGCAGGATGCTGAGCTTTTTGTAGGGTAACTTCTAGCTTAAGGAAATTCCAGTTTGGGAGAGACAGATTCGGTTGAGCACAAAATGTTACAGGCTCCAGTGAACTCAATTCAACATGCAAGTCAAGAAATGCTGACAGTGTTTGCTCCAGATTTATACCTGTGCAACTCCGATCAGAAACAGGCTTCAGACCTCCAAATAACACATCCTTTCACATTGTGAAAGATGGTACAACCCCCCCTTAAAGCAAGGCCCTGCAGCTTGCTTTTTAATTCAAGATCCTGTGAAGAAGAGCTGCTAAAACACCCACACAGCTTAGTCTGGGGCACTTCCTAAGCCTCTAGTGTGAGCAAGCAGAACAAAGAGAGGCTGGAGACAGCTCTCACCTGCAAGAGAGCACATTTGCATGAGCCACTTTAGTCCCCACAACATTTTTCTTTTTTTGCTTGCTTTTGCATAAAGAAGCATCTCTGTCCTGGGCCCTTCCCCCACTGACCTTTTATTCCAAGCAGGGCAGGATGCTGCAAAGGAAGGACCTGAGGTGCAAAAACAGTCACAGCCTCTATTCACAGGAGATCAATGATCTTTTAGCAAGGGGGATATTAGCAACTAGTGTTACTTACTATTTCTTTGTGTGGCTCAGCTGGTATTGTTTTGTATCAAGTGCTGCAGAGGTTTCATAGGTTGTTTAAAGGCAGAAAGTTTAAGGTTTAATCACTTACTGAAAAAAACCCTAGAAAAATCTCCCTTATCCAGGACTTAACCCACAAGGAGACAAGAAACAAAGGAAATGGCACTAACTCCTCTGCTACCACATAGCTGGCTTTACTTCACAAGCAGAATGGGTCTCCCTTTTGATCAGGCATCCAGCAGGCACAAGGATCCAGCAGGGATGGGTTCCAGGGATTTATACTGAAGAGGGGCTACAGGATGCTGGAAGCAGACCCAGACAGAGCCAGGCTCAGAGAAACAGGGCACCATCAGCATTACCTGTCTATATGTGGGAATTGTCTCCAGATATACTTTCAGAGTCATAGTCTGCCAGCTCTGTCTGGCCTTCGGGTGCCGTTTGGCTCCAGCTGTCTGTACAGTCCGACGCAGCGTCGTCCTCACCCACTGTCACCTCCACCCAGTTCACCTCCGCCGGCTCCTCGTTCTCCTCGCTGCCGTGGCCGTCGTGGCTGTTGCAATCCACCCTGTCCATACCCTCTCCTTGATTCCCCAACAAAGAGTCTTTCAGTGGTTCACAGTCTCTTTTTGCTCTCACCACTGGTTTACCTCCATTCTCTTCATTCAGTTTTTTATGATCCTGGTAATGCTGACGAGACACCTCGTTACCGTTCTTTGGACTCTCAGCATGTTTGGAGCCCTTTTTCTGGCTTTGTTTGTTATGACCATCAACAGCATACTGCTGCTGGTACTGGTCAATCCATTTAAGTGACCCTGTTCTTAGTGAAGACCGGTTTTCCTTGAACCAGCGGACTATTTCAGTTCTTGTGAGCCCAGTCTGAGATGCTAACTGGTCATACTCCTGGGGCGATGGCCACTGGGTCCTTGCAAATGTGCTTTTCAGCAGATGAATCTGCTCTTGTGTTTTCTTAAATGTGGTTGAGGACCCAGATAACGCACCAGGAAGCTGAGAGCCACTCAGAAGTTCTGCCTGGCTTATTGCACCATTGGGAGTTCCTTTTGCTTTAATTTTTCTGTATGATCCCATTGAGTCCAAGACAGCTTGCTCCATGCTGTCCCTTATCTTTCTCCGCTCAGAGAACCACGAATCTATCTCCCTCCTACTCAGCTGAGTCTCCACTCGAAGCCTGTCCAATTCTCCTTGGGTAGGAAAAGAGCATCTTAGGAAACTCTCCTCAAGGGCCCTACGCTGCTCTTGGGTTATCTCTTTGAATCTCTGGGGAGTGAAATCTGTGTATGGGTGAAATGACCAGCCACGTCGACCAGCTGAAGGTGCTATTTGATCTTTCCCTAAAGCATCGCCAGGAATTTGCACAATGCCCCTCTGACTTCTGTACCTGTGGTCACTGAACCACTTCTTGATCTCACTCCTGGAAAGACCTGTTGCCTCTATAAGCCGGTAGACTTCTGCATCGTCAGGAAACTGGCTTGCCATGAAACTGGCCTTTAGCTCTGCTATCTGCTCCTTCGTCTTCTTCCGTTCACTGGCTGGTGTCAGCGGCACAGCTGTCAGCTTGGCAGGAATCTCAGGCACCTGAACTACATGAGGACGCTTGGCCTCTGGGGCACTTGATAAGGTCTGTATTGTCCTCTTTTGCCCCTGGTTTGGGGCAACAGCGAGTGTAATTGGTGAACAGGAAACAGTTGAACCATTTGACACAGGAGTCAAAACCAGACCAGTCTGGCCCAGTATCTGACAAGGCAAAGCTGTCTGGATGATGGGCTGCGGCATTTTTGCAGTTGCCAAAGGAGCTGGTAGGACAGTGATGGTTTGGGGAACTGCCTGGATAGTACCATTGAACATTTTCTTTCTTGCTTCCTCCACTTCTTCAGGAGACCAACTTATACCATGCTTCAAACGTTGCGTAGCAAACCAGATTCGGATTTGTTCTTCCGGATGTTTCGATGCTGCTGTCAACCATGACAACTCTGCTTGTGTTGGGTACGGAAACTTATTAAAGGAGTTGATCATGGTTGCATTAGTGTCCAGTGCAGAGTTGTATTTGGTACTGTTCAGAGGGACTGGGACCTTGGGGACAAGGTTGATATTTGGTGGTAGCTGTACAGAGGGCATAACGTGGGCTAACACATCTTGGAGAAGGTCTCCATTTATACAAGCAATAGCTTCAGTGGCTTCAGTTATGATACGGGGGAGAGCACCATCCACGTGGTTTTCCATAACTCCCTCTTCTGGCTTTTTGGATCCCTTCTTGGTTTCCCCTTTAGGCTTTCCCAGTTTCATCATTGGCACTTTATTTGTGCTAATTCCCCCATGAAGTGAATCATCACACTCTGCATTTTCTAGCCCCCCACCCGTGACAGCAACATCATTAGTGGTGGTCTCAATGGACTGTTCTAAAACAGTCTGATTATTGCGTTTAATTAATTTCAGTTTAAAGTTAGTCTCTCCCGGGTGGTATTTTGTGTTGTGGTCAGATAAAGAATCGTATTTTTTGGTTGTGAAGTTGCATTCAGCACAGACATACAAGGGGTTGAGAATGACATTTGGATGCTGAGTGTCAACATGCTCTGTAAATTCATTTAAGTTTTGTGTTGAGTAAGGGCAGTACTTACACTCATAACCACCCTGGGGTTTCTTAGACTGATTTTCAGCTGGGGGCTTTGCCTCAACCACTTCACAGTCTTTGACTGAGTTTTCTGAAGGCCAGGTTTTTTTGGAATCCTGCTGTGGTGTGCCAGTCCCCTTCTCTTTAGAAGTTTCTACACCCTCGGCGCCTTCCTGCTCCACGACTTCAGAAGTTCGCACCATACAGGGAGTTGTCGACTTTCTTTTGCTGGCCATGGCAGCCACTGGCAGCACACTGTTGCCCCAAATGGTGTCTTGTTTTGACAGGATAAGCAACCAACTCAGTAGATCTTGCAAACAGCTCCAAAACACCTTGATTATTTTACTCTGTTTTGCTTAATGAATTTCTGCTCTGGTTGTGACCATCAGCTCCGCGAGTGGACCTGTCAGCTGCATGACACCTGTGAAACAAAGCACACCTTGTCAGGCACTGATTTAACAGACATTTATCAGAAAGCCACAGCTTGTATGTGCATTTGTAAGGGTATTTTGGATAATGCCAAACTCTTCCTCCTCCCCATCATCATATTAAGAGTCAAAAATCTCCCCATGAAGAATAAAAGCAGTGGGTAAATTGCAATGAAGTGCACCATAGGAAGAAAATGACTTCGAAACAAATAAGATGAACAGACAGGGGATTTTAATTTCCACTAGACTCAATGTGTTTAGCTGGAAAAGAAAGAAGATACTACTATAAATACTGCATCTTTTTATAGAAGCCACAGTTTCTATTAATTATTATTTTGAAGCCTGCAGATTTGAAATTGAGTGTGATTTATATTAAACTTAATTACTTCCCACTGTCACTTACCTTGTAAATATGTCTACTAAGTGACTGTGGTTACTAATGATGGGTGATTTCTAAATAAAGCTATAGAGCCTGCCTTGGTTGTAAAAGTAAAGGCATAAAGAAGAGTTAATGCAAATCAACACTTCCTAAGGTCTGTGCCATAAGGAAAAGTGGGCTCAAAGAAACTGCAGCCGATCTGTGGAGGCCTATTAAGTGTTTTCTGGAAGAAAAGTTTCCTTACAACACCACTTTTCACTCAACATTGACAGAGGTAGCTACCAAAGGTATCAGAAGCCCTTAGATACCTTTTAAACATGGTCCCTTCCTGTGATATTCTCACCAAGTCCTAATTTGTGCATTTTATTCTCTACAGAATTTAAAAAAAAAAAAACAACTAAAACCCAAAACATTTTAAAGCACAATTCATATGTTCAAGTAGTTTTGGGAGTTCCCAAATGCAAGAATTCTGTAAAACAGGTTCTGATGCCAACATGAGTCAAACAAAAGCATGAAGAAAAACTACACTAGCTGTTTCAGGATCTACCTGCACTCATCAGGAGTGGGTGAAGCGAAAGAGAGGAATTTAGCTGTCAAAATTTTCATTAATCAAAAGAAGATTAAAAAAGGTCACTTCCCTATTTGACAGGATGCTTTTTCTAATTTATCACTGAATCCAATTTGCTATTCTTCCTGATCAGATGGTCTCTGGTTTCATAATTCCCAATCTTAATGGAAAACTCAAGAAGTACTTGGAATGGGGTGGGAGAGGCACTGGGGTTTACAAATTGAGGGAGGCTGGAAAGTGGAGATTTGCAGAGTGGGTAAGGCCTGCACTGATTTCTGTAGAAGTGTACTAAATGGAGAATCTGAAATAGAGATCCAATGCAATATGTCCCTGCCCATTATAGGGAAGATGGACTGGATGATCTTCAAAGGTCCTTTCTAATACAAACCATTCTGTTAGTCTATCATCTCATATCTAACCAAATGCAGATTTTCTCCTTGTGAAGCCTGTAAATGATAAGCTGCAATCAGAATCCAAGATATAAAGATCTAATGAAATAAAATTCCACTGTAGTTACATCTGGACACATCAGCAGTTTATAACCACTCAAATGCTGTCCCTGAGCCTTCTCCTCTTGCTTAAGCCCTGGCATGAGAGTCAGAAATAGCCACTGTAAAAGCAGTTGCTAACTTCTTGGTTCTGTCTGCAGCTGAGGAATACTCTGCAGGTCTCTAGAGCACATTTCTGTTGCTCTGCCCATCACAGATCATACCACTTCTGTATATATGGAAACTCAAAATGATATACTGCCAGAGGAAGCACCTCCAGCTGGGAATAAGAGCAGGGATGGCAGCTTCCAGCTCCATGTACTCAAACTCCAGTGTGAAGCAATTCTCCATACACAAAACACTTCATATGCGAATTCTCCATGCAGCACCTTCACAGATACGGCTCTGGTGAAACACAAGCTGTGAAACACCAAACACACCACAGACAAGATGCCATGCAGATGCTGTTTGTTACAGTGCAGATGCCTCAGCATATCTATACAGTGCTTTGTGTTCACAGCCACTGCCACTCCTGCACTGCCCAGCCCTGACACAGACCAGTGATGCTCCCGCACACTTGCTCTGATGTGGTGAAGCATGAGACCATTTGGTTGACTTTCAGGGGTGCATTTAAGCTCCTAGTGTGCTTCTCTGGGAAATGGAGCATCTTTGCTGAGCTCCATGAAACAGAGATGGGGGCTGGCCACAGGCTTATGGCTCTGCCTCGGTCAGGATTAGAGTGTCACTTCCCTCCAAACTGGGATCATCGGTGCTGTCATCACCATTCCCCAAAGTGTCAGCACCTCTGAGCCAAAATTTCCTCTTCTGTTTCCCTTTTTTCCTTCTGCCTTTTAATAATAAACAAGCAGATGAACAGTGGAAGAAATGATGCCTGGTTTTCTGTAGATTTGTGTTGACTGACCTTTAAACTGGATTATACAGAATATTCTCTATCATTTTCACCTATTCCTTCAAAATTCCCTTCTGCTTCCCCTCACAATTATCTTTCTGCAGACATTTTGGCAGTGATCTGTCCCACTTAGGAAAGGATCAGAAGCTAGAGACAAACACACAACTGTCCAAACACCCATCTTCCTGGTCACCCATGTTTAATCACACTTGCAGAAAATGAATTATCTTTGAAGTTTCTTCCCTTATAGTAAATTTGGCTGAAACAGGTCAAAAGATAAGAGAAGGGGGCAGAATGGGCTCTGAAAGCCCAACTGCTGTTGGAAACAGAGTGAAGGTGATCAGGTCACCCCACTCTTTCCTGGAGATCTCACTACGTTTGTGACACTAACTTTCTCAGATGAGGGAAGGGAGGTGTAAGGCAGTGCCCTGGGCCACGGCAATGAAGATCCGGATGGAGCCATGGCTCCCAGGATACTCCTCTGTGGCTTGCTCTCCCTCCCAGGCCACAGCTGCACCCGCTCCCTTTCTAACGTATGACCTCATGCAAAATTCATGTGGCAACATCGCAAAAGGAAGAAAATTCAAAAGACATCAAAGACAGAGCAAGACTTATTTATATTTCACTGAATATCCCCCCCTCCTCCACAAGAAGAAAGGCTAAGAACAAAAAGATAAAACAATGGGATGGAAGAGTGGAGAAGAGACCTTGATAAATTAGAGGACTAGGCAATCACAAACTATATGAAGTTCAACAAAAGGTGATGCTGGATTCTGTAGCTGAGATGGGGCAACCCTGGATGTATGTACAAACTGGGGAAAGAATTGCCAGTTGGTCGAGGAAGGGGATTGTCCCACTTTGCTCTGCACTGGGGTGGCCTCACCTTGAATATTGTGGCAGTTTTAGGCACCACAATGTAAGAAAGATATTAAGCCATTAGAGAGTGTCCAAAGGAGGGCAACGAAGATGGTGAAAGACCTTGAGGGGAGGCCATGTGAGGAGTGGCTGAGGGCATTTGGTCTGTTCAGCCTGGAGAAGAGGAGACTGAGGGGAGACCTCATTGCAGTTACAACTTCCTCCTGAGGGGAAGAGGAGGAGCAGGCACTGATCTCTTCTCTGTGGTGACCAGTGACAGAACTCAAGGGAATGGCCTGAAGCTGTGTCAGGGAAGGTTTAGGTTAGATATTAGAAAAAGGTTTTTCACCCAGTGGGTGGCTAAGCACCGGAACAGGCTCCCCAGGGAAGTGGTCACAGCACCAAGTGGGACAGAGTTCAAGAAGCATTTGCATGATACTCTTGGGAACATGGTGTGACTATTGGGGATGGTCCTGCGGAGGGCCAGGAGTTGGACTTGATAATCCTTATGGATCTCTTCCAACTCAGCATATTCTGGGATAGTCTGCAATCTAGGTCACACTTTGAATCAGTTAAAGGTTTCTTAAAAGTCAGACTCAATGTTCTGAATTCCTCAGTCTCTAAATGCTCAGCAAACTCTCTGTTGCACTCAGTTGCTGAGCTGATCTCCCAACTCTTCTCAGGACAGGAGGACTGGCCCCAAACAAGGATGTTCTCATACAGAGGAAGGGCCAAGGTCCCTCCAAAACATATATAAGTGGGTGGAAAAATAAAGTCTGTTTGCTACAGTTTTTCTAGAAAATTGTACAGATTGTTGTTTCTCTTACATCTTCTATTCTGCATGTCTAATTGCTGTTTTCTAACCCTATATTTTGAATAGTTTTTTCTGCCACACAAGAATCACTATCCACCATATGCTGCTTTTTGGAGGTCAGTAAAAAAAAACAAATGACTTTTAGTCCAAGATGCGCAGTTTGGGGTGCTGATAACCATATAGAGACTGTCTCTGTCCCTTCAACCCACACCCTGAAAGATGGGGAGGAAAAGAGGCCCAACAACTGCATAACCAAGAAGGGTTTATTTGGACCTCCAAGCTATGGCCCTTCCAGGACCTCAGTAGGGATGTCATTTGGCATAAAACAATACAGTTTCAAAGGAGGATGGGTCCCCCTCCCCACGACAGACCCCCGGTAGCTGCATCATATACATCTGCAGGTCCTGCCACATCCCATCTGAGGACATTAGAGAAAGCATAGGAAGCATCCCACAGCTTTCAAACGTGAGCTGCTTGCCAGAACATCAAAGCCCCAGCAGACAGTTTTAAATACATGGTGTTGCTCCTGACAAAGCTGCTAAATGATGCCACTTCAGCTCCTCCGATTCAGGAGTGAGGCAGCTCTCTCAGGCTGTCACTCCACTGGAATTCAGCAGGCAGGCAAACCTGACCCCACAAACCTTTGGATTTTACTTGCAGATGGCAAAGACTACCAAAATTTGCAGGGAGATGAGAAGTTACCCTACAGCAATGGCTTAGCAACCAGCACACCCTGATGGGAACCCAAGCTACACTTCATCACCTGAGCTGTGTCCACAGCACATATATCCTGTCAAGGAGCAAAATCCATATCTGATGTTCAATGAATAGGGTTGCACCATGGTCAGGTCAACCTCTATCCCCAGAGCTGGCTCTGTTCAGTCTATTATTATTGTTTTGTTATGGACAAGACCCTGGAAAAATGACCTCTTTTTAGGGCTGCTGCCAGTGTGGAGTGCCACAGGCGTGGAGTGCAGGG